GGGGTGGGAGAGAAGGCACTGGCAGGGGGAAAGACTTGGGCACTTCGCTTTCTCGCTTCCTGTCTCTGGCCAGCTGGTGCAGCTGATCCGAGCAGTGGACCAAGATGAGGACGGCAACACGACCCGTATCATCATCCGTTCCCCACCCGGGGCCAGAGAACCAAACGTCACCGTGCGGGATAATAAGGGTGAGGCACGCACACCCATCTGAAAATGTAGCGTCCACTCTCGTCTACTCTCTGCTTCCCTTTCAGGGGTTTCCCTGACACTATGGACTAGGAACATGCACTGCTGATAAAAGGAGAGTGGACATTCTCAAGAATACAAATAGGTCACGAGCAGAATCTATAGACTGTACAAAAAGTACACAGACCTCTCGGTGTTTAGCTATTATCCTCCTTTTCCACCATTTTTCCACCGAGAGTACAATGCAATTCAAGAATTGATAGAATTCAGTGGTTTATTGCATCAACATTATATTACACTGTCCACATGAATATGGTTATACATACCTACAGTGTGGGGCTTTGGTTATTACTATCTACAAGGAAAACCCAATTTTAGAAATACAGTAGACTAAATTCACTCTTCTCCTTTGAATCTTCTCATCTCCAGACAATTCGGCCTCCTTGCTGCTCCGGGCTGCCCGTCTGCCTGCGCAAGGCGGATCTCTGCTTGTGCCCCTGGAACTAGTGGATGGTGGTTCCCCCACTCGCACGGGCTCCCCGACCCTCACAGTGAGCATCTGCCGGTGTCGGCGAGACGGGGCCATGCAGGCTTGTGGGCCCGAGGCCCTTGGATCTCCTGCTGGCCTCAGCACCGGTGCTCTGCTTGCCATCCTCGCCTGCGTGGGCACTCTGCTGGGTGAGAAAGGATTTGAGGCTCATATGCTGATGGTATGGGTGGAGCAGAGAGAGGAGGACAGTATTATGGGAATTTCACCCAGCGAAGGGGTGAAGCTGTTTATCTCTAAGAGTAGGGCTCTAAGAGTAGCCCTGGAGAACTTCTCATGTGGAAAAGAAAAAGAGTTTCTAAGTGGGAGGGAGATGTGTCTCAACAAGACAAGGTGGGGATATACCTTGAGTGAAGGTTCCCCAGCCGTGTGGACAAAAGGCACAGAGGTTTGGGGAATGTTTTACTAGCAATGCTGGATTTCTCCAGGAGGATGGACGATGTGCAGTAATGGTGTGTGGGAATGACCTTGGGAGGCAGGGAGAAGAGACACAGCCAAGGGAACGGCCAGATAAAAGGTAACTTAGCCCGTAGCTGGATAGTGGGCATGGGAAAGGTCTCAGAAGGGACCCTCCCTAGTTTCTCAGGCTGTAAAGGAGACGGGGGGGGGGGGGGGGGGG